ATTCTGGCTGAATTCACAGGAGGATGTGCAACAGGGATATAATGCTGATGGCAGATGATGGGCCTTGGCTCAAAGGAGAGAATACCAGAAAGATGTTTGTGTGTTACTGACTTTGCAAAGGCATTCGACTGTGTGGATCATAACAGACTCTGGATAACATTGGGAAAAAATGGGAATTCCGGGGATCTTCCTTGTGCTCATGCAGAAATTGTACAGGGATTGGGAGGAAGTTAGGTGAATGGAACAAGGACATACAGTGTGGTTTAAAATCAGGAAACGTGTGAATATGTCAGGGTTGTATCTTCTCACCAGGCCTAATCTGTAGGATGAGCAAATCGTCAGAGAAAATGGATTATATGAAGAAGAATTCAGCATCAGGATTATAGGAAGGCTTATTAACCTGCAATATGCAGGTGACACAATCTTGCTTGCTAAAACTAAGGACTTGAAGCACTTGCTGATGAAGATCAAGGATCGCAGTGTTTAGATTGGATTACAACTCAATGTCCAGAAGACTAATATCCTCACAATAATAGGGCCAATAGACAGCATCATGATAGATGGAGAAGAGATTGAAGTTGTCAAGGATTTTATCTTTCTTGGATCCACAATCAGTGCTCATGAAAGCAGCAGTCAAGAGATCAAAGGACGTGTTGCCGTGAGTAAATCCCCTGCACGTGACCTCTTAGACTATTAAAAAGCAAGGACGTTACTCTGTAGACTAGGGTGTGCCTGGCACAAGCTCTGGTATTTTTAGTAACCTCACAGGCAGCTGAAGAAGAATCGATGCATTTGAATTGTGGTGGTGATTACTGAAAATACCATGAACTGCTAAGAGGACAAACCATTCTGTCTTGGAAGAAGTATGGTCAGAGTGTTGCTCAAAGGCTAAGATAGAAAGGCTTCGTCTATTATAATTTGGACACGTTATCAGGGGAGACCAGTCCTTGTGGAAGGACGTCAAGTCTGCTAAGGTGGAGGGTAAGTGACAAAGAGGAAGGGTCACACAGTAGCTGTAACAATGGGCTCGGGCATAGGAACAATTGTAAGGATGGTGGACGATGAAGCAGTGTTTCATTCTCTTTTGACTAGAAGGCACCTAACAATAACAACCGCATGCAGTACATAAAATACATTAAGAAATGCCTAATCCTGCTCTTTCCGTCTCCGGCCGCACTAGGGAGAGGAGCCGCCGCCATGTCCGCGTATCTGCTCCAGGTTCCTGATCAAGAGGAACAAGCAAACGTACAGCACCGATCCCAATCACCTGAAGCCCGCAGACCACCATTAACAAGAACACTCAGCAGCATCCGGCACATGATCCGCAAGAACGAGTACCGGCTCAACCTGCGCAGGGCCGCAGTCCGCAGAGCCAATGCCATCCTAAGCAGCTAGAAGCCTGTGACTCGCCCCACCAAGAGCTCCTGAGCACCCCTTGCCCAGAGAACTACCCTCCCCCCCAAAAAGCCTAATCCCATATACTGAAGTTGATGATATAGGTAATATTTTTGGTATAATGTATATACTAAAACAGTGGTTGCATGTATGTGAACAAATGCCCACCTATAAAAGCAAGTGGATATTTTATACATGCATTCTCTGGAATAAAGCTACAATACTATTTATTTGATGTGGATGAAATGCATTCATATTTATTAAGTTCAGAAACCCCGAGGGAAACCCGGATTCAAGGAATAATGCTTTGAATACTTCTGCACCTTTCTAAAACGTAATCTAGCTGGGCATACCACATTGAAGTGATTATTTGCACTCTTAGCGGGCTGTATCATCAAAATGCACAAAGTCTTAAAGATGGGCTAACCACTACATAGCACTTACCTTGGCATTCTTTAACGTAGAAAGGAAAATTACAATAACCATATGTTATGCGGTGCAATTTATTATGTTGTGGAGCTGGCGCCTGAATTTGACTCTTGGCGACTTCTACTGACATTTTCAGTCATCTCTCAGAAATGCCACTTCTTAAGTGTATATAAATGACCAAGCTACCATAAATCATAAAGCAACTCCAAAGAAAGGTTGTTTAACAGTCATATCCTGGACGCTTAGTCGTTGGGAACCTTGCCACATAAAGAGACGTGAGATTCAGATGGGGAATATCCAGCCTGCCTCTGGGTCTATTTCAAGGTAAATGTTGGGATTTTCCTGTTACAAAATTAGGATAAAATGAGATTTTCCTGCCAGAAACTCCAGAAGAAAAGATACTCTATTTGAAGTCATGATCTGGGGAATTATCTTCCCTGTTTTAAAACTTATCAAGACCAGGCAACACTGGATCTTCTGCTCTGAATTGAAAAAAGATATAGCAATCATGGATATTTAAAAGTAGCTTCTACTTCAAGAACTTTTATCATAGAAAAATCAAGAATCTATAGTTCTAATATTGCTATCCTAATGTTATTAAAACGATTTCTAAAATCATGAATGGTTAAAATAGTAGGACTTCTCTTTTAACCACAATCCTTTATGGTAAGACCACTTTCATTTACTACAGCAAAGATATTAATACTATTTGTAGTCATCTGAAATTTTCGTTCATTTAGCCATTCACCGTATGTTCTTTTCCAGTATCTTACTTACTCTGTGACGTCTGCGTGTCTATGAATCTCTTTATCAAGGCATCCGTAGTTTGGGTATAAAGATTAAGAGCGTGTCTCAGGGACTGAAGATCTGGGCTTTTCTCCAGGAAATTCCTTTTTAGGCCGTTTCCTCCTGCATGAAAGTATTGCTAGAAAGAAAAAATAGAGAGAGAGAGAGAGATAAGCAGAGACATTCAGAAAGACATCGTTGTAGGTTGTATTGCTCCTTTAAGTGAAGCTCAACTTGGAAGCATAACTATGATCTACATAAGGGAGATTCCAACACATAGTGCCACCCTGCTCAAGCATCTCATCCAGGTTCCAAAGATATTAAAAGAATTTTTTTTAGAATTAGGTAAAGTAGATTAGAAGTTTTATATATTCAGTAGTTCATACACATTTCGTTTCAACTCATCCATTGCAATCTCCCCAGTGTACCATAGCTCACTTCTTCCTATTCCATTCCTCTTTTCTAACCTTCTGAACTGTGTTATGGGATAAATGCTGTCATGCTGATATTCAATGGTTGATCATTTCAGTGCAGAACTAAGTTCGGTTCCTGACCTGAAGGGTGACTAAGGGCCCCAGTCTTGCGGGTTCCACCAGTCTTTATTTGACCAGTGAGCCTGGTCTCTTACAATTTTGAATTTTGTTCCACATTTTTCTTTCATTCTCCCTAGGACCTGGTAATATGATCTTTTTGAGAGACTCTGATTGTACTAGTATCTAGCTATTTAGGTCTCGGGTTCCTGGAGGCTAATATTTATATGGCTCATTAGATTAAATGTTTCCAATGTCTTTCCGTTTTTATACTTTTTCTTTCCTCCAGATGGGGAGAGAGAAATAGCTGTACCTTAGATGGCCACTTATGATCTCTTACGACTCTAGTTTTGTTCCCCCTCACCCAAGTGGGAGGTGAAGCATGGTCTTTGTGAACCATGTTATGCCAGTTGAAAGTGATATCTCCCCAAGATTATGGTCTTGATCCCCCAGACTCATTTCCTCAAGGTGTTTGCTTATGTTTAAGAAGGTTACATAACTTTGTTCTTTGAATGCCCTATGATGTTCATGGAGTTTTTGCAGCCAGGGTAAATTCACATTTACAAACGTCCTCGGCCAAACCTCTATAGAGTCATGAGTACAGGTCCCATTTTCCTCCTACACTTAGAGATCGGTACTACTGAAACCCTCCCATTGGTTTGCCCTGCTACCACTTTTTGCTGACGTCCTTCTGATGGTATGTTGCCTTCCCCTTCATCCATATTAACACGTATCTACCCTCTGGCTTACACCTTCCTTTCCCATCCCTGGTACCACTGTTTCTCATGGTGTGAAAATCTGTTCTTGACTTTCTATGAAATGGTCTCACACAGTATTTGTCCTTTGAACTTGACTAATTTCACTCAGCATAACATCCTCTTAGAGCCTGGATGGTACAGGGGTTAGACTGCTAACTTCAAGCTCAGCCATTCAAAACCACCAGCCACTCTGATAGAGAAAGACAAGACTTTCTACTCCCGCCAAGAGTTACAGTCTTGCAAATCTACAGGGGCAGTTCTACCCTGTCCTACAGGGTCCCTATAGGTGAGAATCAATGCCATGGCAGGGAGGATAACGTCCTCCAGGCCCATCCCTGTTATAAGATAGTTTGCTGATTCAGCACATTCCAAAGATAGTTCTTAAGTGATGTTCTCTGTCACAGACCCCTGGCCCTGAAGACTTACATATTTTCCTTTCACTCATAACTTTGGTTAAGCAATTGGGATCATGAAGATTCAGTGTTTGTAATCCTTGGAATATGACAAGTTTCATTAACAATGGTCAATTTGGGCTCCTGACTTCAGGTATTTTGATAGTTAAAAAACATACACAAGTACGTATATGGTTGTTCCTTTTTTTTTTTTAAGGGAAAAATCCTGCTGTTCCAGGGAGGGGATAGAAAATTAAATGCATATATTAAAGGAGAAGGTTTAATTTCGTCCTAATCCTGCTCCTGCTAGAAGAGTGGTGGTGTGTTCTCGGCCAGTTTGTTTACATAATAAACCGAGGAGTCACAGAAGCAATAACTCGTCCTACGACAAGAAGAAATGCTGGTGGTTGTAATAGCTATATGTTAGGCTGCTAACTGCAAAGTCAGCCATTCAAAATCACCAGATCAACCAGAGAGAGGGCTTTCTACTCCTATAAAGAGTTAGGGCAGCGTTCTCAACCTGTGGGTAGTGACCCCTTGGGAGTCAAAGACCCTTTCCCAGGGGTTGTCTAAGACCATGTTTTCGATGGTCTTAGGAACCAAGACACCACTCCTCTATCCATCTCCAGGTGGGTCTGCCCACATGCAGATAGGCCACATACGGGGGTCACCACAACATGAGGAACTGTGTTAAAGGGTCACAGCATTAGGAAGTTTGAGAACCACTGAGTTAGCGTCTCAGAAATACAAGGGCAAGTTCCATCCTGTCCTCTAGGGCAACTACGGGTTGGCATCAACTCGATGGCAGTGAGTTGAGGTTTTGGTGGGGAGTGGAGAGCATCCCTGGGTGAGTCAAAGACTTAACACACACTTGGCTGCTACCAAAAGACTGAAGGTTTGGAACCATCCAGAGAGCACCTTGGAGGATGGGACTGGTAACCTACTCCCCCACATCAGCCACGGTTCTAGCCTGAAATACACGAGGTGTCCATGCGTTGGAATCAACTCCATGTCAACCCTAAACCAGGAACAGGAGGGTCTTTCTGAATGTTTCTTGGACAATCTGCAGTCTTATCAAAAAGGAACATATGTAGTGCCAGAAGATTAAAAAAATTTTTTAAGTGTTTTATGATCTCTCAAAACTACTGAGTGTTTTCAGAAAAAAAATATCCAAGATTGAATGGGACAAAAAGATTAGTGTGTCTTCTGTCTAGTTCACTCATCTGGGCTATCATGGTTTCATTCCCTTTAAGATGTTGGTGACGTTGTGGGTCACTCATTGGGCTGTTAACCACAAGGTCAGTAGTTCAAAACTCTTAGCAGGCCCTCAAGAGAAAGATAAGGCTTCCAGCCCCCATAAAGAGTTACAGGCTCGAAAACCCCATCACTAAATCACTGTTGGAATCTACTCCATGGCAGTGAGTTTTTTTGTTTGGGTAAATTGTAGGAAACGGATAAAATGATTCTTTTTTATATACATGCAAATTAATTTGGAGTACAAATGATTATTGTCTCTATTTGTTAAGTCCACTGAACCTTTTCTTATTGCTTATATAGATGTGATTCTTGGAAGTCTCCTTTGACTTAGTTGTAAAATCTTACTGATTTCCCTTGTTAATTTATGAGTCAAATAAAAGAATGGATGTTTTATGTCTGCTTTGACATGTTTTATGCCTGCTTATGCCCCCACCTCCCCGCAAAAAAATTACCTAGCAGTTTAAATACAGTATCTTGGATAGCAGCATGCAAAAAAGTGACCATGGTTTTTACTGTCAACTTTGTGGGGGGTTTCGTTTCAGAATCAACTTGATGGCAGTGAGTTTGTCCTTGTGGGCATATTTCCTCGATGCAGCTAAAGGGATAATGTTTTGCTGCTGCTACTATATTTTCACTAGCTTTTTAGGAAGTAGTAGAGTAGAAGTAGAGAGCTCAGGGGCTCTGGTGACAAGGTGAGTAGGCAGTGCGCTGATAACTGTGAGGTCAGCACGCAAAACAACCAGCCGTCCCTCAGGAGAAAGATGGGGCTTCCTACTTCTGCAGAGAGTTACCATCTGGGAAACCCACAGGGGCAGTTCTACGCTGCCCTACAGTCATTACCAGCCGGCATCAACTCGATGGCAGAGAGTTTGAGAGACCTTAGAAAAGCTAAGAAATGACATTGTACTTCTAAAGATTCAAAACACTAACATATTAAAGGCTCTGAGACAGACCCATGGGAAATAGATTTTAGCCTTCTACTAAAATATTTGACCTGAACTTACTTGCCCAAAACCCATGTCTCATAGAATACCTATTAAAACTACTGAGGACAGATGTCCCCTAAGGTATATGATTTGGGATGCTCTAGAAGACATAATTTGGCAATATAACTGAAATATTTTTGAGGCCCTAAAAGGGTTCAGGGAAAAGGAAACCAGAGTTGAGCTATAAAGGTGTGAACTATGTATTTGCCTTTAGAACCCATGATAGTTTTATGTGTCAACTTGGCTTCCCAGAGATTCTGTTAAACACTAGACTAGTTGCTGTTCCATAATGACATAATAGAATAGAATCACCTTCCATCATATAATGTGATCTGTTATAACATCGAGGGGTTACTTAGGGGGTGGTATGCTTTCAGACTATAAGTAATATTCTGGCCCAAATCTTTTTCTCTCTTTCTTTCAACTCAGTAATCTTCCTTAACCTACAGTGCTTGGTGTACACAACTATGGGTCTTTCTTCTGCTGCCTGATCCACAGAGTTTGGACTTTTTATCCCCTCATAACTCCACGAGTCAACAAATGTCCCCAGCTTTCCACTTAACTTAGGAATTTTGAACTTCCCAGTCTCAACGATTATACAAGTTAATCCCTTGAAATAAGTAGCTATCCATCTGTCATCCATCGTCCCCTAGATTACCATTTCTGTTTCTCTAGAGAACCCATAAAGCAAATGCCTTCTAATTTCATAAAACGTATGTTTTTAATACTAAGGTATTATTTCAGTAGGACTCTGGGACATGGAGGACTAATTGTAAACTGAAAGAATACTTTGAAGATTAGTTTGTGCCTGTGTATGTGGCCTAAGGGCCTCTGTAGAGGTTTAAGCTCTGACACTCAAGTAACATTCTCCATTTTCAGACACAGAATCTTGTGAGGCATCTCACTACAGCCTCTAGCACACTATTTGGTGAACAGTGGAAATCCTTTAAGGATAGAAATGATGGCTTTTCCTTTCGAGTGCATTGCATTCCTATAGGAGATGTGGCAAGATAGGAACCCAGCATGGAGGATACAATGCCAGGCAAGAAAACCAGTGGGAAGGTGCCAAGAATGAAAGTTTCCTGTTCTGTGAACCCAGAAAAGTAATATGCCAGGGGCTCCTCACTCAAAGATAAAGGACATTATTTCCATGCTCAGGCAAGTGGGAGCTTGATCCAAATGCTACTTCAGGGAAATCTTCCAGCGTTCAGAACCT